AGAGAGAGAGAGAGAGAGAGAGAGAGAGAGAGAGAGAGAGAGAGAGAGAGAGAGAGAGAGAGAGAGAGAAATGATGTGGCTGCCATACGCGTACCCATAGAGGTGTGCTGAAAACATGCACCCCGTACTCAACGACTATTCGGTAGGGGCATACTGCAAATTCGGAACGGTTACCGGTAGGGGCATAGCAAAAATACTTCAGCCCCAGCCGACGCGGGGGTTTTATAGGAGATTTGAATCATGTTCAGAGGGGCACGACATTGTAAGTGGGCTGTCGAAGGGGCTCCACGCAAAATAATGGAAATTACAGAGGCGCCAAACAAATTTTCCCTCTTTTTTTTTTTTCTTTTCTTTTATAAACAAAAAGCTCTGCTCGTTTTATTATCAAGGCAAAAGGAGGTTGGGGAAAGGAACATCCGTAATTGCAGGCCTATTTCACTTCTGAACAACTCATACAAGGTATTGGCCAAGACCTTAGCTAACAGACTGAAGCGGTACCTTGCAGGCATGGTGGGTGTAGAAAAAGCTGGCTTTGTCAGAGTCCGGAACGATGAGGGGTGACCAGGCAGAAGTGGTGACTCTCTTACGTGATTAAGAGAAAGCGTATGACAGGGTGAATTGGCAGTTCGTCCTGGATACAAAGGGACTGGCAGGGTTCGGGGACTCCTTCCGGTGTTGGGTGAGAGCCCTCTATACCAAGCGGGGGTGGGCAGGGTAATGGTGAATGGGGAGATATCTGAACCCTGCCAGCTTTCGAGGTCCCTGAGGAAAGGGTGCCCCCTGGCCCCTACGGTATTTGTACTACAAATGGAGGTTCTCTTGTCCATGATTAGGAAACACCCACAAATACAGGGAAATGGTAAACAATGCAAAGCCTCCGCCATGGCGGTTGATTTGTTCACTCTTCCCATCAACACTGAAGCGTCTTTAGGGGGCCCTTAAAGAGTGTCTTGATAAGTAGTCTAAATTCTGCATTCAGTCTTAGCAATCTCTGCACCATTGTTTCGACCTGAACAACTAATGCGAATTCCTTTCGCATAATTGAAGAGAGCTGGCAACTCTCTGAATTCGAGCGGAAAGGCGGTGAATTAGGCGCGAAGCGGTGAAAGTCGCTCAGAAGCTCTTGTGAACTTGTCCAAGTCAGCGGTCTTGAGGCATGATACAAGGATGTCTGTGGATTGGGGTTTGAACTTTGAAGTGCTTGCCTGCCGAGAATTGTGAGCGTTTTTGGGTCTGCGGGTTGGCATGTTGGAAGGAAAGCTGCAGGCAAGTGCGCTGGTGGGAAAGACTGTAATCTCAAAGATTGGTAATGTTGCTTCAATTAGAGGCTCCTCAATCCTGGGAAGGGCATTGTTCCTCAATACATCAGTCTTTTCATCAATCTGGTACCCATGCTCAATTAGGTACCCATTTGGAGAAGAGAGCCTGCAGCAGAATTAGATCTCTGTCCATACAATGTCTGTGGAAGGGATCTAATGATGAGTGAGTGGGATATATGGCCAAGGTGGCCTGGAGAAAGATCATTGGTGAGAAGTGGGATGGAAGGCTACGTGTCTTGGATCCTGAGTCGCAGGTAAACGCATTGCTAGCTAGATGGGTAGTGTCATTACTGGTTGTTGGGGATGAGCACCCCTTGGGTGACCTAGCGGTTTGCATCCTACAGAAGGACTGGGGCCTGTTCAGACCAGAGGATGTGTGGGTGGTGTTGCTCACCCCATTCTTTGTTAGGAGATCCGTAAAATCCCCCATTTGGAAGGACATCCTAGCAGCGTGGCAACGGGTCCTGACCTCCCTGATAAAAGAGTCAGCTAGGAGGGCGGAAATCCTTGCGCAACACATGTTTGAAAACAAATTAATTTTTAACAAGGAGGGCTTGTCATGGTCTGGAGAAATGTCCCCGGGGCAAGTTGGCACTTCCTGGATTCAGAGAGGGATCTCTCAGATTACGGACCTTTGGAACACCGCCCTGGAGCAATGGAGATCTCCAGTGGAGCTCAAGACTATAGACTACATCAACCCCACAATGTGCCAATTCGCGCTGAGGTGATACTAGAGAGCATTCCACAGAGGTGGACAGATATGCTTTGTAATTGGGTGCCGGTATATGGGCGCAGTTGAATCAGAGGCAAGAGTTCTGAGGGTGACCAGCAAATCTGGAAAGTCCAAGGGTGCATCAGTGACCGTGAAATGGTGGCCAGGGCTGGCTTTCTTCTTCTTCTTTTTTTTTTTTTTTTTTTTTTTTTTAGGGCTGACTTTCTTGAGCAGACAAGTGAGGAGGTAACCATTTCCATTGCTCATTCGGCAGAGGAGGTCATGGTTTTGGATCCCACAATGGCCTCCATCGTCATCACATCAAAGAAGAAGGGCAAGGAACAACCAAATTTTGTCTGCCTTGTGGGGGTCGTACCCGCACACAATTTGAAGTCTCTCCCATTTCATTGGGGT